TGCACACCCCAAATAACCCACCGAGCCACGGGGAAAAGGTGGGGGAGGACGGAACTACAGCCCCAGCCTCCAACTTACAGGCTGCAGCCAGCCAGCCAAGAATTACAAAACATTTTATGCAAAACGTCATCAGAAAGACCTGATTTTCACACTACTCCATGCTGGTGTCACCGTGCCCTCCTGTGCAGTCACCGCAGGAGGGGCTGGGGACACAGAAGGGTCCCTGACGGAGCCGCCCGTCCAGCCCAGGGCAGGTTCAAGGAGGTCTGGGGCTGGATGGGAGAAGCAGGCTGGGTCAGCTCGGGATGCAGCTGGCCAGGAGCACTGCGGCTGTCCTCCTGGGGACCAGCCTGCCAGGGACTGTTGCAGAGCCTCTGTCCCTGCCAACTTCTAAATCCAGGTTGGATATGCAGGATTTGTGCTTCGGTTTGTTGAGTTTCTCTTTCCTAATAGAGATACTCAGCAATTGCACTTGTCACAAATTAATTCAGGGAAGTCCCAGGGCTTGTGATCTGTCAATTAGAGGAGAGCAGCCGTTCCTCTGCCTTTAAGGTCTCCAGGCTGGTGAGGAATATTTAGCAGGCAGATGACTAATAACCGCAGAACAGAGCAAGGTAAACCCACCCCGGAGAAATGTGATGGCTCTGCCTCCCCCTCCCACCCTGCCAGTGCCAGCTGATGAACGAAAGGCAGCCAGGACCTGGTGCTGCCGAGAGCTCCTGGGCTTTGGCTGCTGTTCAGGTACGACAGGGCAGAGAGTGGAGGGACGAGCGGGTGTCCAGGCAGGAGCATCTCTCTTTGGGATCTGTGGGTCCCCAGGCACAGAGCCTCTCCCTGTGCCACCCCGCGAGCAGGGGCTGCCGGCATTGCAGCGGCACATCCCTCCACGGCTTCAGGGTCACCAGCTCCTGCAATTCCTCCCAGTGCACCTTCTGGGATACGGAGCCACTTCCCAGGTGCAGCTGGTGGCTACGGCTCCCGGCCACGCTGCTGCCCCGCCGGCTCACCGGCCGCTGCCACGTGGGAGTGAGGGCAGAGGCCACCGGCTGCCTGCTAAGATAAGCCTTTTGCCACCACCACCCCCAGCCCCAGCAGTCCACAGAGGCCACCCAAGCAGCCCCCCGAGAGCATCCAAGGGGGACGATGGGCAGAGCAAGACGGGGCAAGCGCTGTGCCCTGCCCCTGCGCCAGCCCAGGAGGGTGCGGGGTCCCACCGTCCTCCGCAGCCCCGTGCATCAGCAGGACGCCCCGGTCGGTCGGAGCTGAGTCAGCCCCAGGCTGGGGTGGGGGAAGTCATCAGTTCCTCTCGCAGCGCCAGCCCGGAACCTCAGAGGAGGCACCACGTGCACTTCGGGGTTCCCACACCACCCCGGCGCCTGCCCCACACATATCCCTCCCCGCCGGCGGCCGACAAGCGAAACTGGGAGCATGTGTACGCAGAGAGGAGGAAGCACCGGGGGGCAGCATCCCCCCGCCCTGGCACAGTGTGGACGGAGAGAGGAGGCAGAAGCGGGGAGCAGCATCCCCCCGCCTTGGCACAGCAGTTCTGCTCGGGGCAGGACAACCCCAGCTCAGCAAGCAAGCGGGAACGAGGGGGGAACCGGTGCTCTGCTTCCCCAGTGACACTGGGACTCCTCGGCTCCTCTCCCTTCCCTGCTCAGTTCATCGCACTGAGGACTGAATCCTGTCCCTGCTGGCAAGCAGAGCTTTATTAAAAAAAAACAAAAAACAAACCCTGCTGCGGTCCCCCAGGCACCCTCACAAAGAGCATTACACAAAGGCAGCGAGCAGCTCTGGAAAAAGCCTAATCCTGCGTCTGATCTCTCCCCGCTCACCCCCAGGCGCCCCAAGCTGCTGCCAGTGATGCCTGGGGTGGCTGCTGGTGCGGCGCAGCCCTGCAAACTGCGGGGAAAGTCCCTCCCTTCCAGCTCTTACTGAAAATCCTGCTTTTTTTCCCTGTTTTCCCAGAATCTTTAGGTAAGAGGGTTTAAATACGTGTTAAACCCCAGTAATCCTTGGGTCCAGCCTCCAGATCCAGCTGGGACCTTGCTCACCACCGCAAACTGACCCTGCTTTCAGCTGGTTCCTGCCCTGCACACCTCATCCCCAGCCCAGCCTGGGGACTCCCTGGGTGCTGGGACCCCGTGGCAGGACCCCCTGCCTCATACTCTGATTTTGGGGCTCCTTCCCACCCCGGTGCGGGCAGGAACCGGGGTGGGACCCCCCCCGCGGCACCCACCACACCTCACGTGCCTCGTGCCCTTCTGCTCCGCTGGCTTTCCAGAGGCGACGAGGCATGGCCTGATGACAAGTGGCATCTGCCATCTGATTCAAACCACCTTCCATCAGTGCCATCCCCACCCGGCGACGGGGGCCGCACGCCTCATTACCCCCGGCGCTTTGCTGACCGGTGCAGCGGCACGGGGGGCTGCGCTCCCCTCCGAGCATCGGCCCCG